TCTCTGATGAAAAGTATTAAATTCAGGGACTGACTGCGCTATATATTGTAGGACCAGCATCTGCGCTGAACACTCTATTCTTCTTAATAATCATTGTAGTAATAATATTACCAATTATTTAATTCGCCAATAGACCGAGTTCTTTGAAAACATTTTCTAAGTTCTGGCAAAAATTTCCTTGTCGAATTGATCTTTTTGAAAGTAAAAGATTCGAAGATTTTTTTTTTAATTAGAACTCTTTTTGACTCAATTATGAAGGGAGGCAGCAAGTTGCTAATTTTAATTGAATCATGCTGTTGTGAAAATTATCCGTCAAATTGAAAAATTGCCAAAATAAAATTACAATAAACTTTAGATCTATAGTTTTACTTTATTTTTCTGAAAATTTGCACGCGGTTTGGCAACTACTTGTATATATGTATATCTCTGATGAAAAGTATTAAATTCAGGGACTGACTGCGCTATATGTTGTAGGACCAGCATCTGCGTTGAACACTCTATTCTTCTTAATAATCATTGTAGTAATAATATTACCAATTATTTAATTCGCCAATAGACCGAGTTCTTTGAAAACATTTTCTAAGGTCTGGCAAAAATTTCCTTGTCGAATATATCTTTTTGAAAGTAAAAAATTCGAAGATTTTTTTTTAATTCGAACTCCTTTTGACTCAATTATGAAGGGAGACAGTAAGTTGTTAATTTTTATTGAATCATGCTGTTGCGAAAATTATCCGTCAAATTGAAAAATTACCAAAATAAAATTACAATAAACTTTAGATCTACAGTTTTACTTTATTTTTCTGAAAATTTGCACGCGTTTTGGCAACTACTTGTATAGATGTATATCTCCGATGAAAAGTATTAAATTCAGGGACTGACTGCGCTATATGTTGTAGGACCAGCATCTGCGTTGAACACTCTATTCTTCTTAATATTCATTGTAGTAATAATATTTCCAATTATTTAATTCGCCAATAGACCGAGTTCTTTGATAACATTTTCTAAGGTCTGGCAAAAATTTCCTTGTCGAATTTATCTTTTTGAAAGTAAAAGATTCGAAGATATTTTTTTAATTAGAACTCTTTTTGACTCAATTATGAAGGGAGACAGTAAGTTGCTAATTTTAATTGAATCATTCTGTTGCGAAAATCATCCGTCAAATTGAAAAATTGCCAAAATAAAATTACAATAAACTTTAGATCTATAGTTTTACTTTATTTTTCTGAAAATTTCCACGGGTTTTGGGAGCTACCTGTATAGGTGTATATCTCTGATGAAAAGTATTAAATTCAGGGACTGACTGCGCTATATATTGTAGGACCAGCATCTGCGCTGAACACTCTATTCTTCTTAATAATCATTGTAGTAATAATATTACCAATTATTTAATTCGCCAATAGACCGAGTTCTTTGAAAACATTTTCTAAGTTCTGGCAAAAATTTCCTTGTCGAATTGATCTTTTTGAAAGTAAAAGATTCGAAGATTTTTTTTTTAATTAGAACTCTTTTTGACTCAATTATGAAGGGAGGCAGCAAGTTGCTAATTTTAATTGAATCATGCTGTTGTGAAAATTATCCGTCAAATTGAAAAATTGCCAAAATAAAATTACAATAAACTTTAGATCTATAGTTTTACTTTATTTTTCTGAAAATTTGCACGCGGTTTGGCAACTACTTGTATATATGTATATCTCTGATGAAAAGTATTAAATTCAGGGACTGACTGCGCTATATGTTGTAGGACCAGCATCTGCGTTGAACACTCTATTCTTCTTAATAATCATTGTAGTAATAATATTACCAATTATTTAATTCGCCAATAGACCGAGTTCTTTGAAAACATTTTCTAAGGTCTGGCAAAAATTTCCTTGTCGAATATATCTTTTTGAAAGTAAAAAATTCGAAGATTTTTTTTTAATTCGAACTCCTTTTGACTCAATTATGAAGGGAGACAGTAAGTTGTTAATTTTTATTGAATCATGCTGTTGCGAAAATTATCCGTCAAATTGAAAAATTACCAAAATAAAATTACAATAAACTTTAGATCTACAGTTTTACTTTATTTTTCTGAAAATTTGCACGCGTTTTGGCAACTACTTGTATAGATGTATATCTCCGATGAAAAGTATTAAATTCAGGGACTGACTGCGCTATATGTTGTAGGACCAGCATCTGCGTTGAACACTCTATTCTTCTTAATATTCATTGTAGTAATAATATTTCCAATTATTTAATTCGCCAATAGACCGAGTTCTTTGATAACATTTTCTAAGGTCTGGCAAAAATTTCCTTGTCGAATTTATCTTTTTGAAAGTAAAAGATTCGAAGATATTTTTTTAATTAGAACTCTTTTTGACTCAATTATGAAGGGAGACAGTAAGTTGCTAATTTTAATTGAATCATTCTGTTGCGAAAATCATCCGTCAAATTGAAAAATTGCCAAAATAAAATTACAATAAACTTTAGATCTATAGTTTTACTTTATTTTTCTGAAAATTTCCACGGGTTTTGGGAGCTACCTGTATAGGTGTATATCTCTGATGAAAAGTATTAAATTCAGGGACTGACTGCGCTATATATTGTAGGACCAGCATCTGCGCTGAACACTCTATTCTTCTTAATAATCATTGTAGTAATAATATTACCAATTATTTAATTCGCCAATAGACCGAGTTCTTTGAAAACATTTTCTAAGTTCTGGCAAAAATTTCCTTGTCGAATTGATCTTTTTGAAAGTAAAAGATTCGAAGATTTTTTTTTTAATTAGAACTCTTTTTGACTCAATTATGAAGGGAGGCAGCAAGTTGCTAATTTTAATTGAATCATGCTGTTGTGAAAATTATCCGTCAAATTGAAAAATTGCCAAAATAAAATTACAATAAACTTTAGATCTATAGTTTTACTTTATTTTTCTGAAAATTTGCACGCGGTTTGGCAACTACTTGTATATATGTATATCTCTGATGAAAAGTATTAAATTCAGGGACTGACTGCGCTATATGTTGTAGGACCAGCATCTGCGTTGAACACTCTATTCTTCTTAATAATCATTGTAGTAATAATATTACCAATTATTTAATTCGCCAATAGACCGAGTTCTTTGAAAACATTTTCTAAGGTCTGGCAAAAATTTCCTTGTCGAATATATCTTTTTGAAAGTAAAAAATTCGAAGATTTTTTTTTAATTCGAACTCCTTTTGACTCAATTATGAAGGGAGACAGTAAGTTGTTAATTTTTATTGAATCATGCTGTTGCGAAAATTATCCGTCAAATTGAAAAATTACCAAAATAAAATTACAATAAACTTTAGATCTACAGTTTTACTTTATTTTTCTGAAAATTTGCACGCGTTTTGGCAACTACTTGTATAGATGTATATCTCCGATGAAAAGTATTAAATTCAGGGACTGACTGCGCTATATGTTGTAGGACCAGCATCTGCGTTGAACACTCTATTCTTCTTAATATTCATTGTAGTAATAATATTTCCAATTATTTAATTCGCCAATAGACCGAGTTCTTTGATAACATTTTCTAAGGTCTGGCAAAAATTTCCTTGTCGAATTTATCTTTTTGAAAGTAAAAGATTCGAAGATATTTTTTTAATTAGAACTCTTTTTGACTCAATTATGAAGGGAGACAGTAAGTTGCTAATTTTAATTGAATCATTCTGTTGCGAAAATCATCCGTCAAATTGAAAAATTGCCAAAATAAAATTACAATAAACTTTAGATCTATAGTTTTACTTTATTTTTCTGAAAATTTCCACGGGTTTTGGCAGCTACCTGTATAGGTGTATATCTCTGATGAAAAGTATTAAATTCAGGGACTGACTGCGCTATATATTGTAGGACCAGCATCTGCGCTGAACACTCTATTCTTCTTAATAATCATTGTAGTAATAATATTACCAATTATTTAATTCGCCAATAGACCGAGTTCTTTGAAAACATTTTCTAAGTTCTGGCAAAAATTTCCTTGTCGAATTGATCTTTTTGAAAGTAAAAGATTCGAAGATTTTTTTTTAATTAGAACTCTTTTTGACTCAATTATGAAGGGAGGCAGCAAGTTGCTAATTTTAATTGAATCATGCTGTTGTGAAAATTATCCGTCAAATTGAAAAATTGCCAAAATAAAATTACAATAAACTTTAGATATACATACGTTTTTCTTTATTTTTCTGAAAATTTGCACGCGTTTTGGCAACTACTTGTATAGATGTATATCTCTGATGAAAAGTATTAAATTCAGGGACTGACTGCGCTATATGTTGTAGGACCAGCATCTGCGTTGAACACTCAATTCTTCTTAATAATAATTGTAGTAATAATATTACCAATTATTTAATTCGCCAATAGACCGAGTTCTTTGAAAACATTTTCTAAGGTCTGGCAAAAATTTCCTTGTCGAATTTATCTTTTTGAAAGTAAAAGATTCGAAGATTTTTTTTTAATTAGAATTCTTTTTGACTCAATTATGAAGGGAGACAGTAAGTTGCTAATTTTTATTGAATCATGCTGTGGTCCGGCAAATTGAAAAATTGCCAAAGTAAAATTACAATAAACTTTAGATATATGGTTTTACTTTATTTTTCTGAAAATTTCCACGTGTTTTGGCAACTACCTGTGTAGGTGTATATCTCTGATCAAAAGTATTAAATTCAGGAACTGACTGCGCTATATACTGTAGGACCAGCATCTGTGTTGAACGAACACTATTCTTCGTAATATTCATTGCAATCACAATATTACCAATGATTTTATTTACCAACACATTGAGTTCTTTGAAAACTTTTTCTAATCCCTCAGTGATGAAAAGGCAATGAAAGACCTAGCAGAAATGTCCTGGAATTTATCTATAATTTGAAAATAAAAGTTGCTAAGAGAATTTTTTAAAATTTGAACGTTTGTTTTCTTTTTATTGACTCAGTTATAAATTTTCATTGATTCATGCTATTGGAAAAATTATCCGTTAAATTGAAAAATATTTTTCTTCTCAGGTACTTAGGCAACCCCGCCTCCGGCGTCAAACCCATGTACCAAGTCCACGTCAGCCCGGAAAAAGAGAAAGAAAAACCCCCGGAGCCGCCCCCCAAGGGCGAAATCAAGAAGCACTCCATCGTGAAGATCGACCCGAAGACCCTCAAACCCATATCGGAGAAGGCCCCCGAGACCACGTCGCTGAGCAACTCCAGCGACCTGAAGATCAACACGAGCTCGGTGTCGATCTTCAACCCACTCAAACTGCAGAACTCGCCGAAGGGCGAGCGCAAATCGCCGAAGAGTCCGCACTCGCCGAAGACGACGTCGACGAAGGTGCCGTCGTCGCCGCCGACGAAACGGGACAAGCTCAACTTGAACTTCACGCCGTCGAACCCGTTCATCCCGAACCTGGCGTCGCCCACCGTCAGCCCGAACCAGTTCTTGTATCCCACGGGGCCCCCGGGCTTTCCTCCGTACGACCCGAGGGTAATGGCGGCGTACCACAATCTGTTCTACGGGCAGAGGTTACCGTTTCCGCCGCCGGGCTTGAGTATGGAGTTGAACCAGAGGAAGAATTTCGACCTGGCGGGTCCGACGAGTCCGAAATTGGGGGGCATGCCGCAGCCGCATAGTCCACAGGTAATAATTAAATTTAAAATAATAACAGGAACAATAATAAATTCCACGTAAATTTCCAAAATGAAATAGAAGACAAATTTAAATTCATTTTCAAACATATTCTGATGGACATTCACATCCGCGCCAACGTTATTCTAAAATAATTGTAGCAATTGTCGAGATAATGAAGTTATTATTATTTCGATAGAACTTCCCTCGCCCCGAAGGATAGCCCAACAAATCCCGCTCCTTTGAAAAATTATAAAAAAAATACCATTTTTTTTGTGATAATCTCTATAAACTTAAAATAAGTGGCGTAAATAACACTCCCCAGCTTTTTTGACTTACATTTTTCAAATCTTCGATCGATTTTTCATTTTTTTTGTTTCTTCAGTTTTTCGATTGGAAATTTTTCAAGTTTTCGAGTTTAAATTTTTAAATTTTTAGATTTTCGAACTTTTGAATGTTTCAATATTTAGATTTTGCAATTTTTAATTTTTAAAATTATCGATTCTTTAATTTTTTGTTTCTTCAATTAAAATTTTTCGTTTCTTCAATTTAATGAGTTTTCAAATTTAATTTTTCAATTTTCCGATTTGCAATTTGTCTTTAATTTTTTCATTTTTCGTTTTTTCAATGTTCTGGGTTTGTTTTTTCTTTTCAATGTAAACATTTTTCGAATTTCCAATCTTTTGATTTTTTAATTTTTCGTTTCTTCAACTTTTGATTTGCAATTTTTCAAGTTCCCTTTTTAAATATGTAATAATAATAGTAATAGATTTTTTAAATTTCCGATTTTTCGATTTTTTTAGTTTTCCATTTCTCGATTTTTTGACTTTTCAAGTTTTCAATTCTTTTATTATTCGATTTTTATATTTTTTTAATTGTAGATTTTTTATTTCTCGTTGTTTCAGTTCTTCCATTTTCTTGGTTTGGTTTTTAATTTTTCAAATTTTTAAATTTTCGACTTTCGATTTCTCGATTCTTCAATTTTTTAATTTTTGAAATTTTACCTTTTTCGATTATAAATTTTTCATTTATTTATGTTCCAATTTCTCGATCTTACGCTATTTCAAATTTTCGCTTTCTCAATTTTTTTATTTTTCTATTTTTCGGTATTTCGGGATTACGATTTTTTAATTTTCTGATCCAATTTTTTAAATTTTGTAATTTCTAAGTTTTCGATTTGTCGGTTTTTGGAATTTTCAATTTCTCGATTAATCGAATTTTCGATTTTCTTATTTCTCGATTTCTAGAGTTTTCGCTTTTCATTTTTCAATTCTTCAATTTTTTAATTTCTGAGTTTTTTAAATTTTTTTGATGTTTTAAATTTCTGATTTTTCGACTTTTCAATTTTTTTTATTTTTCCATTTCTCGATTATTTGATTTTCGTATTTACGATTTTTCGGCTGTTCGACGTTTCGCTTTCTCAATTTTTCGACTTTTCAATTTTTCAATTCTTTTATTATTCGATTTTTCAGGTTTTTCGACTTTTTGATTTCTCAATTTTTCGGGATTTGTTGATTTTTTTAATTTTAAATTTTTTGATTTCTAGTTGCTTCAGTTCTTCGATATTCCTGGTTTGGATTTTAATTTTTCAAATTTTTAAATTTTTGAAATTTTACGTTTTTCGATTTTAAGTGTTTTAATTTTCTGTTTTTTGATGTTCTAACTTCTCAATCTTTCGATTTTTCAAATTCCTGATTCTTCAATGTTGCAATTTTTTAAATTTTGGCATTTCTAAGTTTTCGATTTGTCGGTTTTTAGAATTCTCAATTTTTCGCTTAATCGATTTTTCGACTTTAATTTTTTCATTTTTCGATTTTTCGACTTTTCGAATTTTTGATCAATTTCCGGGTTTTTTAATTTGTTTATTTTTGACTTTTTAAATTTCCGATTTTTCGACTTTTCAATTTTTTTATTTTTCCATTTCTCGATTTCTTTATTTTCGTATTTATGATTTTTCGACGTTTCGCTTTCTTAATTTTTCGACTTTTCAGAATTTCAATTCTTTCATTGTTCGATTTTTCAGGTTTTTCTGGATTTGTTGATTTTTTAATTTTGGATTTTTTGATTTCTCGCTGTTTCAGTTCTTCGATTTTTCTGGTTTGGTTTTTAATTTTTCAAATGTTTTAATTTTTGAAATTTTACGTTTTTCGATTTTAAATGTTTCAATTTTCTGTTTTTTGATGTTCTAATTTCTGGATCTTTCGATTTTTCAAATTCCTGATTCTTCAATGTTGCAATTTTTTAAATTTTGGCATTTCTAAGTCTTCGATTACTCGGATTTCTTGCTTAATCGATTCGACTTTTCAATTTTTTCATTTTTCGATTTTTCGACTTTTCGAATTTTTGATAAATTTCCGGGTTTATTGATTTTTATTTTTTTTGACTTTTTAAATTTCCTATTTTTCGACTTTTAGATTTCTCAATTATTCAATTTTTCGATTTTTTGATATTTCGATTTCTCGATTTTTCAAAATTTTGATTCTTCAATTTCTCGGTTTTTGGTTTTTTTAAATTTTAGATTTTGCGATTTCTCGACGTTTCAGTTTTTCCATCGTACTGTTTTTCAATTTTTCGAATTTTTAAATTTTCGACTTCGATTTTTCAATTCTTTTTTTATTTCTGAAATTTTAGATTTTTCAATTTTAAATTATTCAATTTTTCGATTTTTTGATGCATCAATTTCTGGATTAGTCATTTTTTCGATACTTTATTTTTCGATATTTTAAATAGTAGATTTTTCGATTTCTCGACGTTTCGATTTCTCAATTTTTGGACTTTTCAATTCTTCGATTTTTTTTATTATTCGATTTTTCAGGTTTTTCGACTTTTCGATTTCTCAGTTTTCCGAGATTTTTCGATTTTTTGATTTTTTAATTTTAAATTTTTTGATTTCTCGTTTTTAGTTCTTGGATTTTCAGGTTTTTAATTTTTAAAATTTTTAAATTTTGGACTTTCGATTTTTCGATTTCTCGATTCTTCAATTTTTTAATTTTTCAAATTTTACATTTTTCGATTTTTTCTTATTTTGATATTTCAATTTCTTTCGATATTTTCAAATTTTAGTTTTCTCAATTTTTTTATTTTTCGATTTTTTAAAATTCGCAATTTCTCGAGTAATCGATTTTTCGACTTTTCTTCGATTTCACGATTATTCAATTTCTGGGTTTTTGGATTTTTTAAATTTTAGATTTTGCAATTTCACGACGTTTCAGTTCTTCTATTCTGTTTCTCAATTTTTCGAATTTTTAAATCTTCGACTTTTAATTTTTCAATTTTTTGATTTCCGAAATTTTAGATTTTTCGATTTCTCTACGTTTCGTTTTCTTAATTTTTCAATTCTTGAATTTTTTTATTCTTCGATTTTTCAGGTTTTTCGACTTTTTAATTTCTCAATTTTTTGGGATTTTTAATTTTTTTTAATGTCAAATTTTTTGATTTCTCGTTCTTTCAGTTCTTCGATTTTCCTGGTGTGGTTTTTAAAGTTTTTAAATTTTCGACCTTGAAATTTTACGTTTTTCGATTTTCAATTTTTCCATTTTCTATATTTTGATGCTTCAATTTCTCGATGAGTCAGTTTTTTGATGTTTTATTTTTCGGTATTTTAAATTTTAGATCTTTTCAATTTGTTGACGTTTCGTTTTCTTAATTTTTCGACTTTTCAATTTTTCGGTTCTTCAATTTTTTTGTTATTCGATTTTTCAGATTTTTCGACTTTTTGATTTTTCAATTTTTCCGGCTTTTTCGATTTTTTTATTTTTTTTTGATTTACAATTTTTTCATTTCCCGTTGTTCTTCAGTTCTTCGGATTCTCCTGGTTTGGTTTTTAATTTTTCAAGTTTTTAAATTTTCGACTTTCGATTTTTCGATTTTAAATTTTTCAGTTTTCTGTTTTTTGATGTTCCAATTTCTCGATCTTTCGATTTTTCAAATTTTCGCTTTCTCAATTTTTTTATTTTTCGATTTTTCGGTATTTGGGGTTTACGATTTTTCAATTTTTTTATTTTTCAATGTTTTTTCGACTTTTCGATTTTTTGATTTGTCAACTTTTTGAATTTTTGATTTTCCTATTTGTCGATTTCTGGACTTTTCGATGTTTGAATTTTTCAGTTTTTCAATTCTTCGATTTTTAATTTCTCAGTTTTTTTATTTTAATTTTCTTTTTTTTTGATATTTTAAATTTCCGATTTTTCGACTTTTCGATTCAATTTTTCGACTTTTCGATTTAATTTTTCGATATATCTTGAATTCTCCATTTATAAAATTTTTGATTCAATTTCTCGGTTTTTGGGTTTTTTAAAGTTTAGATTTTGCGATTTCTGATTTATTCAATTTTTCGATTCTTTAGTTCAAGGATTTGCAATTTTTTTTTAATTTTTCGGTTTTTCAGTATTTTGGTTTTCGAAGTTTTCTTTTTTCAGCGAGTATTTTTCCAGTTTTTGGGTTTTCAAGTTTTTCGATGCGATTAATTTTTTTTCCAATTTTCGTTTTTTCTGTTATTCGACCTTTCAGTTTTTGCCAATTTTTAGTTTTTCAATTTTCAGTTTAAATAAAAAAGCTGGAAATGTTGCAAAATTTGTAAAATTTAAAAAACAAAAATGAAAAAACGAAAAACTATTAAATGAAAACCTTGAAAAATTTAAAAATTGGAAATAAAGAACTTGAAAAATTGAAGAAACAATAAATTGAAAAATCGAAAGATTAAGAATTGAGAAACTTAAAAATCGAAAAATGTATTGTAAAATCGAAATATTCAAAATTAAAGAAATCGGAAAGTCGGATAATTGGAAATTCAAAAATTGGGGAAACAACAAATTAGGATATAAAATCGATACAATTAAATTTAAAAATTCGGGAAAATGATAAATGAAAAATCAAGAACTTGAAAAATTGAGAAAAAGCAAGAAGTGAAAAATTCAAAAATTAATAACTGGGAAACTGAAAAATCGAAAAATGAAAAATTGTGACATCGAAAAATTGCAAAACCGAAAAACTATGATCTCGAAAGTTTTTATTAATCTATGTAATCAATGCGAATAATTTCTTGGTTTTATTACCCGTAGTGATAGAAGTCTTGCCTGAATGCCGGTCATTTCCGGGCCAATGGTGGCTCTTAAAATAATCTAAAAACTGCTACTTTTGCAGCCCCCCCTCAAACTACCAACTTCGGATCCGCTGGGTATTCAGACCTCTTCTCGGACGTTAGGCAGCAGTACCACAACGACCAACTCCTCCAGTTTCAAACCTCAACCGGCACCTAAGAAGAGCAGCAAAGAGTCGACGGGCAAGAACGAGAAGAGCCTTCAGAACGCCGTCGAGAAACTAACGCAAAACAGGGTAAAAGAAATCAAAAACGAGGCAGCTGTCAATAAATCAGCGTCCGAAACGAAACAAGAAGAGAAACCGAAGGCGGCACCGACGCCGCCCCCGCCGCCGAAGGAATCCACGACCGCGAAAGAGAAAGAGAAGCAAAAAGAACCGAGCAAGGCGGAAAGTAAGAGTGACGACAATCAAACCAGCAAGAAGAAGGAGGAGAGCGAGAGCGCGAAGGAGAAGGAGAAAGAGAAGAGTAACTCGAATACGAACGGGGAAGTGGCGAAGAGCGAGGAAAAGGCGGCGAGCCAGGAGGCGGAGGAGAAGAAGAAGAAGGAAGAGAAGAAGTGAATGGTGCAATCTTCGAGTCGGAAAGTGCCTAATTTTTTCGTTTATCGGCTGATAGGTGCCTTTTGCTGATTCACACCGTAGATTAAAAGAAACACCAATAGGAAAAATCTCCTGTCTCTTTTTAAGGATAATACTCTGCTTTATACATAGTTTAGTAGAAGTGGTTTTTTTCTTGATTATTATTACTTTAAGAGTGTTTGTAAACGGGTCGGTGTCGGAATGTTGTTCATATTTTGTAGTCGTTCAATTCTGGGTGGGGGGTGAGGGAGGCAAAATTCGTTGATTTTCGATTGCGGGTTTTGAGTTTGGAAATTTTCTGTTTAAAGAGTCAAACTTTCGACGGCTGTGATTTTATTCCACTTGTTATTTCGTCGAGTTTTCAGTTTTCATTTATACAAAATATGGACTTTTGTGGCGCATACAGCTTGTTTATAAATACCTGTTTTGGATTTTTATATAAATATTAATATAGTTTAAGACATTTTTAATATTTCAGTTATGAAGATGAAGATTTTATTGTACATTGTAAATATCAGAGCACAGATGATTTAATAAAAATATTTATAGTTTTATAAAGTGTTTTATTTAGGGGTACTGGAGACCCGACTCCACGTAAAGGAAGAAAATGAAAGTTTTAATCAAGTCTTGGAAATTTCTGAGTCATTTAAGAGCTTGAGTTGGAGAACTAAATCTATTATTATTCATTCACGATCTTTAGATAGTAAAGTCGGCTTTGATATTTTTTCTTAAGGGGACCCGCTAGACGAGATATAATATTTTTTTGGTTTTTTGTATGAAAAAATGATATTAATATAGATGTATCATACATCAAACTGCAGCTTTTTTCATATTCTAGAGCGCAGAGACCAGTTCAATCAACTAAAAAAATATGGCTGAGAAATATCGTAAAAAAAGCACCATTGTATGTTTTCTTTTCAAGTTTTTTGAGTCATAACGATCATAGAATCGCTTGAAAATTCGCACATGGATAAAACATCACTTTTTACAGGGCGCAGAGTCATTAAATGTTTGTTAGTGGTACAATTTGTTTAAATAATAATGTGTTTATTAAAATCAAAATATACCACAAATTAATGCAAAATACGTCGAATAATTTTAACTGGAATATCAGAGGAAAATTAATGATCTATTGGTTAGCAGAGTTTTTAACAAAAACTAACAATTATTGAAAAAAAATGGGTATCAATTCGACAGAATTTGAGCCGTTAGTTCAGTACTTTGCCGATAGGAGCGCCACTAAAATTTACGGAAGCGACTTTCCAGGTAAAACCCTTATCGCTGCTCTACCATAAGCTGATTGTTAAGAGTTCTCGGCTGATTTTTCTAATTTATGGCAAGGAACTCAGTTTTATACAAAGCCGCCAGGACCGGCCGTAGCAATCTATTGTTAAGGAAATTAACTTTTACGCAATGAGGTACTATCATAAAACCGAATTAAAACTGGGGAACTATAATATTTTTACTCCACTCAGGATCCTGAATTCAATACACATGATTACTAAAAATTCATTGTAATAGTATTGTCTATACATATAAAATTGTTTGTCCTGACTGACTGATTCATCAACGCAGAGCCTAAACTACTGAAGCTAGAAACATGAAATTTGGACAGTAGTTTCCTTTTGTGATGTAAACATCCACTAAGGAAGGAACTTGGGAAATTCCACCCCTAAAAGGGTGGGAAGGGGTGGAAAAGTTTGTACAGGAAGACTATTTTCTAACCACTTCTGTTGTTAATATTTACGTGAAACTTGGTATTAATGTTTTTCAACACAAACAACGAAACACGTATTTCACCATTTTCCGAAATTCAACCCCTAAGGGGGTAAAAAGTGGTGGCTAAATTTGTACGGGAAAACTACTTCTGTTGTATATTTTCCCGTGGAACTTGGTATTAATGCTCTTCAACACATATAATGAAACACGTATTTCAGAATTTTACAAGATTCAACCCCTAAAGGGGTGAAAAGTGGTAACTAATTGTGTATGGGAAAAATATTTCTGTTGTAAATTTTTGCGTGGAACTTGATATTAATGCTCTTCAACACAAATAATGGAACGCGTATTTCAGCTGTTTTTGAGATTCTACCCCTAAGAAGATCAAATGAGGTAGCAAAGTTTATATGAGAAAAAATATTTGTTTGGCGATTTTTACTTGAAATGTTGTATTAATACCCTCCAACACACTTGTTACTTGAAATTCGGTAATCATGTAAAATTGTCTTGACTGATTTTAATTTTTTTTTGATATTCATCCCCAACGGAATATAATTTGGGTGGAAATGTGAGAAACAGGAGAAGTTAAATATTAATCCAAACGTGGTTAAAAATCAAAGTTTAAAATAAGTAGTTAAATATCTTTTTCGCATATTAGACGTAGTAGGATTTTTGGAAAAATCAGTCGTAAGCCTTCGAAATTTAAGAAGTTGTATAGAAATAGGGAGGGCGCGACGCGACGTCACCGGGTAAGCGACTGCGACGCGAACGTGGTCTGCGGTCGGTTTTATATCACGAATTGTCAGAGTATTTCTCTCCAAGTATTCTAATTTTGTGTTCCCGTGTATGAAAGGAGGCAGCTGTAGCAAAAAATTTCCTTGAATTCTCCTGAAAGAAACCCAAACAGGCGATGACAGCTACCCTCAATACCGGCGAAGAGGTCCCGCGGATGGTGGATTCACGGTTGAATTCCATGGTGTAACCCTAGATAACAGATGGGTGGTATCGTACAATCCAGTTTTGTCTTGAACTTTTGCTGCTCACATCAACATAGAGTATTGTAACTCTATAAAATCTTTTAAATATATATGCAAATATGGTAATAAAGGATCCAACCAGGATTATTTGGTCTTGAAAATGACAATGATGAAGTCAAATTATATGAAAGTGGTCGATATATTAGCAACTGGAGAATCCTGGCCTTTCCTATACATGAACAATTTACAGCGGTTTTTCATCTCGCATGCACTTGGAAAATGGCCTGCTGTCTATTTTAATCCTATCGACTTTAATAATGTAACTGAAAAGTTAAATAATTCACAGAAAACTACTCCTCTATCATGTTTTGAGCTTTGCAAAACGGATAATTCTGCAAAAATCCTTCTTTATGTTGAAGTACCTTCATACTATGGAAAAGTACCAAATTTGGGAGATGAAAACGTGAAAACAATGTTGATGGTGGGCCGGGAGTCAAAAGAGATCAAGCTTTGGGTACAGTGTACACCGTTCACCCTAATAACGCCGAATGTTTCTACCTTGATCCTCTTCTTCACGCAATGAGAGGGCTAACATAATTCTCGGATTTAAAAACTATTGATAGTGTCGTTTATTCCATATGCCAGTCATCATGCAAAGCTTTGGGTTTGTCAAGTTCAGTCAGAGTGTCAAGAGAGTGTTCAGATTATAAATGAAGTGTACAACAAGTGTCTGATTTCCATCCACAGTGCTGTCTTTAGGAAGACAATGTTTAGAGTACTATGGTTTACCTCAGCCTGTAAGACGTGAAGAAGTCATACAAAACAGAGACTATATCAGAGAGATTAGCTATGACATACTTTTATAGGCACAACGAAAGTTTATTAAATACAGAATAATATCAAATTTACAACCAAGTTAGATAGGTCAGGTAAACGTTTGTTTTTACATGGCTGCCTACAGCCATTAGCGACAAAAATATCCAAATATTTTAACTTTTTCAAAGAAATATCCTTTAATTTAAAACATGACTTTTAATAAAATCGACAAAAGATAACCCAAATTACATCCAATAAAAATTTCAGCTCTGAATCTTTACTCAAACATAAGTTAACATGGGGTATAATATTTAACATGGAAATGCATATAGCCACGCACGCACTGTATTATACTCCTATGTTATAAAATAGCGTTGTTTCACTCCCCCCCCCCCCCCTATTTAAAAATTCACGGAACTGTTAACTCCAAACTTTCAGTCCTTATTTCAGCCACCTAGGGGTAATGGTTGTTTACATTACGAAGGAACTTTCTGTCCAAATTTCGTATTTCTAGCTCCAGTAGGTACGTTGATGGATCAGTCAGCCCGATGATAAACACTTTTATATATTGTTATTAATGAAGACTGCACAAACTTAAAAAGTAATAAAATTGAAATCAAAAAATAAATCAAGGGATGAAAAATAATATGTCCTAATTGCGAAATCCACGCAAGCGGAGCTGCGGGTAACTGCTAGTTAATATATATTTTGCTTTGTTAATTAATAAAACTAATAAACATATTTATAATAATAATAAAAAATATATAAAATACAGCTTTTGTTTAACACGTATAAGAAGCTAAGTGTCTCTACTACTTATCCCAGAAAGGAGGTGTTTTTAAAAAGCTCTAAGCCCAGTAACTTCTCCCTTCTTTGTTTACTCGAAAAAAGTGCTCGTATATGTTTTCATTTGCCGAGAGATCATTTTCAAAATATATTTATACTAAAAATATGCAAGTCTTAGTGATGAAAAATGTACTCCTAATAAATTATTAAAGTACATAAAAAAATAGAAACAAATTTTATTTATTTTAAAAAAATCTCTCGCAAAGGCAGGTTCCTCTTTCTTCTTAAATCAATTATTTCGGGCAATAATGCGCCAAAATAAAATCTGCCAAGTTTATCTGCGATCTTTTTACATATTTCTTCGTCTTTATAATTTTTTCCTATATTTATTCCTTTGGGTGTCCATACAACAAAATAAATTTGTGAAATACCCGTAACAAGCATTTGTCCCTGGACTTGAAAGTAGTAATCATGATTTTTTTTAGTTTCAATTCTCTGTCTGTCAATGTACAAAATTTCATTTTTTTTTTCTAACCGCTTCTTCGGGAGACAAATCTTGCGATTTTGAAGGGCATTTAATTTCGACTAATGCACTCCTATCCTCTAGAACCCTGTCTGGACTAGCAGCCAAGTAAGGAAATTGTTTTGAAATAAACAAGCCACACCGTTCAGTTTTTATATTTTTATTTATTTAAAAACACTTGACAGCTTTTTCCTCACTTTGCTGTCCATATTATGTATGACTATTACCTCTAAATGTATTGTACAACAGAGACTCCACAGTTTTAGCTATTGCTGTAGTCGGTCTAGGTTTGTAAATACGTCCAAAATTTGAAGCCGTAACCCTAATTTCTCTTTCTTTTGCCCAAATGTGCCTGTTGCCTAGTGTCTATTTCAATTTGGTCTAAATTCAAAGATAATTTTCTCAAAAAAAATTTTTAGTCAAAATATATTTGCTTATCCCTTCCAAAAAATTGATGACATCAGCTCAAAAGTTTGCCTTATAATCCTATTTAAAATTTACAAAATATGATGAGTCCCTTCTTGTAATTTATCATTCCATTCATATTTTTTGGATTCGGATATACAGGGAGACTCAAAAAATTTAATGAATGCGCAAATTTATTTTATTGATTTAATCAGGAACTACAAAACCGAATGCTTTCAAATCTAATGTGAAAAAAAAATAATAGGAATGCAGTCGTCACGTTTCCGATAGCAAGGGAAGTACTGTCTAAACTCTTTAGACCAATTTTTTTG